GTAATGGGTAGGCCTCTGATATGATGGGGGGCCCTGATTTGATGGGGGGTAGGCCTCTGATATGATGGAGGGGGGAGGGGGTGTGATGTGATGGAGGACCACTGATGTGAAAGGGGCCTCTGATATAATGGGTAGGCCTCTGATATGATCGGGGGCCCTGATTTGATGGAGGAGTGGGTGGGTAGGCCTCTGATATGATGCGGGGGGGCCTGATTTGATGGGGAGGAGGGGTTGTGATGTGAAAGGCGTTCTGATGAGTTGGGGGGACTTCTGATGTGAAGGGGTCTCTGATGTGGTAGACTGGGTTTTATGTGAAGGGGGTTCTGGTGTGATTGGGGTGGGGGGAATCTGATGTGAATAGGGTTCTGATGTGATGGGGAGGAGTATGATGTTATGGGTGAGGCAGGGCTCTGATTTGATGGAGAAGTGGGTGGGTAGGCCTCTGATATGATGCGGGGGGGCCTGATTTGATGGGGGGGGGAGGGAGGGGGTTGTGATGTGAAAGGTGTTCTGATGAGATGGGGGGATTTCTGATGTGAAGGGGTCTCTAATGTGATGGACTGGGTTTTATGTGAAGGGGGTTCTGGTGTGATTGGGGTAGGGGGAATCTGATGTGAATAGGGTTCTGATGTGATGGGGCGGACTACGATGTTCTGGGAGAGGCGGGGCTCTGATGTGATGGAGGACCACTGATGTGAAAGAGGCCTTTGATGTAATGGGTAGGCCTCTGGTATGATGGGGGCCCTGATTTGATGGGGGGGGGGTAGGTAGGCCTCCGATATGATGAGGGGGGTTGTGATGTGAAGGGGTCTCTGATCTGATGGGGGCCCCTGATGTGACTGGGAGTCCTCTGATGTAAAAGGGGGCTCTGATTTAATGGCGGGCTCTAACATGAAGGGGGTTCTGCTGTGATGAGGTGCCTCTGAAGGAAGGCTTTCTGTTGTGATTTATATCAAGCTGGTTGTGTGCTTTGTCCCAGGCCCAGTTTTCCCATTGATAAGTAACACTTACATTTAGACTGGGGTATCTTGAGGTTTCACATACTTTTAAAAGTATGAGACTAAAAAAAAGTTGACAAACATTGTTCTAATCTAGGCCATATAGATCCTATTTTTTGGAGGTCTGCAGTTCCAGGAATGACCACACTGGGTTCTTAGACAACTGACACCAGTATGAGATATCTGCTGTTTATTTTCCCAATAAATCTTCAGCAGACAGATTTTGTTATGCAAATAAGTATCCAGCCAAAATGTCCTATCTCACAGATCTGATTCAATTAAGCAGGCCCAGTGTGATTTACAGTCCAGCAACACAAACCAACATTCTATTTGTTTTCATGACTTTATTCCTTGTAGAGTTGTCTGGTTTGCCAAAGACAGAAGAGATCTTCATGAATACATCTGTCAATCGGTTTAATTATTACAAAAGAGACCCTGTCATTTTCTAAAAAAGTCATACCTTCAGTACTGCACAAGAGGAAAGCCATTCTAGTCATCTCTCTGGTAGCTCATGTCTCCTACCTCCCATCTGATCCAACTCTGTGGCCTCTCCCCGTCTCTTGAAGAGTCAATATATACAAGAATGTTAGATGAATGTGTCCCTCACCATGAACGGTGTTCCTTCCTCTATGACCTCTGTGTCGCTACAAGACTCAGAGGTGGCATAGGGGTCCAATCATGGTGTGCAGGAGGTCTTAAGCTCCTTTTTAGATCTACCAACAAGTATGTAGGCCAGCCTATCTCAACCTTTTCAACACAGAGGAACCCTTGAAATAACTTTCTGGTCTCAGGGAACCCCTGATAAAAATGACTATATCTACAACTCTCGATACATTGGTTTGATGGTCAGTGGGAAGAATGCTGCTTACATTTGTGGTCATTGTGGAGAAATACCTCCTTAAACACAGCTAAAAAGATCAATGGTGTCAGTAGGAACTTCTCTCCGAGGCAGAAATTGCTCAAGGATCCCCTAGCAACCACTGGAGGAACTCTTGGGTTCCATGGAATTTAGGTTGAGAAACCCTGGTATGTAGTGCAATGGTCTGCCTGAATGAATTCAAATTGTCATTTTCTAAAAAAGTCATACCTTCAGTACTGCACAAGAGGAAAGCCATTCTAGTCATCTCTCTGGTAGCTCATGTCTCCTACCTCCCTCTGATCCAACTCTGTGGCCTCCACCGTCTCTTGAAGATTCAATATATACAAGAATGTTAGATGAATGTGTCCCTCACCGTGAACTGTGTTCCTTCCTCTGACCTCTATGACACTCAGAGATAGCATAGGGGTTCAGTCATGGTGTGCAGGAGGTCTTAAGCTCCTTCTTAGATCTACCAACAAGTATGTAGGCCAGCCTATCTCAACCTTTTCAACACAGAGGAACCCTTGAAATAACTTTCTGGTCTCAGGGAACCCCTGATAAAAATGACTATATCTACAACTCTCGATACATTAGTTTGATGGTCAGTGGGAAGAATGCTCCTTACATTTGTGGTCATTGGGAAGAAATACCTCCTTATAGACAGCTAAAAAGATCAATGGAGTCAGTAGGAACTTCTTTCCGAGGCAGAAATTGCTCAAGGAACCCCTAGCAACCACTGGAGGAACTCTTGGGTTCCATGGAACCCAGGTTGAGAAACAATGGTGTGTAGTGCAATGGTTTGCCTGAATGAATTCAAATGGATTGAATAGATTGGGTAGGTCTTCAAATTACAGTTTTGGTAGATCCAAGTTTGATTGTACAGTCAGACTGTAACATGACAGGTGAGCCTATGATGATGGCCACACACGCTTTGATCAGTGCACAACGATCACTCCTTTTCCACCCTGTCCAATCCACTCAGTTTGATTCAATCTCATCTAAATCAGGTTTAAATCAATTGAAAGGGAAGTTATGCCTATTGGATTGTGTGCCAACTTCATTGCTTTGATCTAATCGCACACTGATCAGATAGCAAACTCTAAGCATGTATGGCCACCATTAGATGTAAGAAGCATGGTGGTGTGACCCCACCACAATCAATCCGTAGGTGAAATATCACTTTAAAGGGCCCATTCACACCTAAGTGATCCATTGCTTTGTGTGTTAACTCGTGTTACATGCATTAATATATGCTGCGATAAGGCAGCCCATTTTTTTTCTAGAAATGTGGTACCATCATGCGTTGCCATCTACTGTACAGTGTGTACAAATAAATTGTACTTCTTTATCAAGACCAACAACACCAAAATCAGTCCCTCCCCTCAAGCCAGGGTACTAGGTGTCATCCTAGACTCCAATCTGTCCTTCCAGCCCCAAGTCCAATCGCTAACTCATGTAGACTTCACCTCCGCAACATCTTCAAAATACGACCGTTCCTAACCTCGGAAACCACTAAGCAACTCATTCACGACTTGACTATTGTAACTCCCTCCTCACTGGCCTACCTCACCACAGGCTATCCCCACTCCAGTCCATCATGAATGCTGCAGCCAGACTCATCCACCTCACAAACTGCTCCGTATCCGCCACCCCCCTCTGCCAATCCCTCCACTGGCTTCCGATTGCCCAATGGATAAAATTCAAAATGCTAACATTGACGTACAAAGCTGTCCATCATACTGCCCCAAACTACATCACTGACCTGATATCCAAATACCACCCAAAACGTACTCTCCGCTCCTCACAAGACCTCCTACTCTCTAGTTCCTCCTAGTCTCCTCCTCCCATGCCCGCCTCCAGGACTTTTCCAGGGCTTCCCCCATCCTCTGGAACTCCCTACCCCAATCCATCAGACTATCACCTACTCTCCTCACCTTTAGACGCATCCTGAAAACCCATCTCTTCAGGGAAGCCTACCTCGCCCTCAGCTAATTACTGAACTCCTCCACTCTTCCTACCACTCCATCCCCCGAAGCTATTTCCTCCTGTACCACCATCCCCTCCCTCCTAGATTGTAAGCTCCAAGGAGCAGGGCCCTCGAATCCCTCGTGTATTGAATCGTATTGTTACTGTACTGTCTTGTGTATTGTCTCCCATTATAATGTACAGCGCTGAGCAAACTGTTGGCGCTATATAAATCCTGTATAATAATAATAAATAAATAAAACCTTCCAAAATACGACATAAAAAAAGGTTGAATTTGCACATGTACAAAACACACATACAGGACAGCGCTTGATTATATCAGAATGATACATCAGTATACAAAAAAATCTGCACCCAATCATGTGATCACCGCAACCATGTGCAATGCACACAGTGGAGGTGTAGTAGAGGAGCATTCAGGGGGTTAAAACAGGCACTGAGGAGGTGACATATGGCCTTCTCATTGTTGGTCAAATGCCTCTGAAAAGCGATCCGAGTGTGACTCACTTTTCAGAAGATTGGTAGTCCTTGCCGCATGTGTAAACAAGGTGTTGCAAGACTAAAAAAAAACTTTCATCGTTGTTGTCAGTGGTAGAAATAGTGCCCCATTGGTGTCATTAGGAGGAATTGTGCCCCTTCATTGATGCCATTGCTCAATTTTTGGTGTCATAGGACATATGCTCAATTTTTGGTGTCATTGGGAGGAATTGTGCTCCATTGTTGGTGTCATTCTGAGAAACTGTGCCCCCTCATTGGTGTCACTGGAAGGACATATGCCCAATTGTTGGTGTCAGTGGATAGAATAATGCTGCCCCCTCATTGGTGTCACTGGAAGGACATATGCCCAATTGTTGGTGTCAGTGGATGGAATAATGCTGCCCCCTCATTGGTGTCACTGGAAGGACATATGCCCAATTGTTGGTGTCAGTGGATGGAATAATGCTGCCCCCTTATTGGTGTCATTGGAAAGACATATACCCAATTGTCGGTGTCAGTAGATGGAATAATGCCCCAGGGGCCGGATAGAAGCAAGCAAAGGGCCACATCCGCCCCTGCCGGAGACCACTGCATTAGATAATGACATCTATTAATGAGGTTACTTACCACTCTGTGTAATAGGCTCTAGCATGGCATCTTTCACAATATCAATTTCATTTACAAGGACTGATCACGTCTGTAAATAGCAAATGAGAACAGGTATTATATGCATGTTACAGTGCATAGTCATGCCACTTATTTCTTTACTGGATTAATGTTTAACGGCATTGTCACCCTAGCACACAGCTTCCTGAAAACATCATAGCACCCTGCCTCAGTACTCTTCTCAAGAGCCCTGCCTGCAGACCACCCTAGGTAACACCCACTTGTAATGCTGAGCCTCTATGACTGAATGAACTGAAATCCAATAAATGAGAATGAATGAATGAATGAATATTTGTCTGCTGTGGTTTAGTGGGTGATAGCTGTCTGTTGCTGTGTGAACGGGTGCTCAGGTCTAGACAATAGTAACAAGTATACAGTAGAAGGATCATCCAGCACAGAACTTCCCCGCTTGTCCATCCTGCAGCAGACATTAGAAGGGAGCTGTGATTGGCTGGCTGCTCAGATCGCTGGCGGCTGTGTTGAGCCATGATGTGAAAGCGAGAAAATGCTCAACTACCAATGACTGGGCTAGGCTGGGCTGCCATTAGAAATTACAGGGTACTGAAAAGCCTGACAGCCCTCAACTATCCACAGACAGCCTCTGTTGGTGCCCCCTGCTGACCCAATGGGAAGTACTGCCTGTACCCCCCCAATGGTTGGCCCTGACAACTGGTGATCTGTAGTATTTGCAGACTGATCCAGAGGGGAGCCTGGAGTATTGGCAGGATGGAGGATGACCTGTAATATTGTCTAACTATACTGGAGAATGAACTGAAGTGTAAGTAGACCAATTTGGAGGGTAGTCTGGAGGATCAGCAGACACCGAGGTTACTCTGGAGGATCAGCAGACACCGAGGTTACTCTGGAGGATCAGCAGACACCGAGGTTACTCTGGAGGATCAGCAGACACCGAGGTTACTCTGGAGGATCAGCAGACACCGAGGTTACTCTGGAGGATCAGCAGACACCGAGGTTACTCTGGAGGATCAGCAGACACCGAGGTTACTCTGGAGGATCAGCAGACACGAGGTTACTCTGGAGGATCAGCAGACACCGAGGATACTCTGGAGGATCATCAGACACCAAGATCAGCAGACACCGAGGTTACTCTGGAGGATCAGCAGACGCCGAGGTTAGTCTGGATCAGCAGACATTGTTAATAGATTTGGCTTTATCTTCAACCACTGCTTACTGCTGATCCTCAGAGCTTCCAGTGGTGTCTTGGCCTTGGAGCTGCTCATGGTGACCAGTCTTCTCCAAGCCCTGGATTCTGCCTTTTGGGCATTCCTCTTCTCCTTCCTATCATCTCTCTAGCTCTGAGCTCGTTCTCCTTCACTGGCTGTGCCCTTTCAGTCTGGCTTTCCACAAACAACAGAAACAAGATGCAAGATAAACAAATGACTCTTTAATAAAACATAAAAGTGGCCCATTCACTTCCACATTTCAAGTAAAAGAAAATAGGACTACCTTACATCAAGTTCCCCCATAAATCAGGAAACCCCAATCCGAGTACCCTCCAGTGCTGCCAATCTCTCGCAGCATTTTTTACTGACAAAACATGGAAAATTTACTGACGGAGCATCCTTTTTTTTACTGACAACCTGAAAAATGGCAGAACTTCTATTAAAAGACAATCAATATTTAAACAGTATAAACAATATGGAAATGATGGGATAACAAAGATGGCACTTAAAAATCAGATATTTTATCAGCCTCAGATATTTACAGACATAGATCAGTTGCCCCATCAGAGTTCCCCTATAGATCATTTGCCCCATCACAGTGCTCCCATAGATGAATTGCCCCATCACAGTGCTCCCATAGATTAATTGCCCCATCACAGTGCCCCCATAGATTAATTGCCCCATCACAGTGCTCCCATAGATTAGTTACCCCAAACACCATGCCCATAGTTTAGTTGCCCCCGTCAGCGTACATATATTGATCAGTTGGCCCATCAGAGTACCCCCATAGATTAGTTGCCCCCATAGATCAACTGCCCCATCACAGTAACCCACTAGATTAGTCCCCATAGATCAGCTGCCCCCATCACAGTACCTCCATAGATTATTTGCCCTATCAGAAGAATATATAACAGTTGCCCCATAGGTTAGTTGCACCCATCACAGTGCCCCCATAGATTAATTGCCCTCATCACAGTGCCCCCATTGCCCTCAACAGCCCCCATAGAACAGCTCCCCCATCACAGTGCTCCCATAAATTAGATGCCCCATCACAATGTCCTCATAGATCAGTCCCCCATATCGCAGTGCTCCCATAGATTAGATATTGAACATTTATTTATTATTTATTTCAGGTACTTATATAGCGCCATCAATTTACTCAGCTCTTTACATATATATTGTACATTCACATCAGTCCCTAACCCTCAAGGGGTGTACAATCTAAAGGCCCTAACTTACATTCATACATACACATACTAGGGACAATTTAGACAGGAGCCAATTAACCTACCAGCATGTCCTGAGGCTCGCAGCTCTCTCGTGCGCCACGCTGGGGCTCGCAGCTCTCTCTCGGGCCACGCTGGGGATCGCAGCTCTCTCTCGGGCCACGCTGGGGATCGCAGCTCTCTCTCGGGCCACGCTGGGGCTCGCAGCTCTCTCTCGGGCCACACTGGGGGGCTCGCAGCTCTCTCTCGGGCCACACTGGGGCTCGCAGCTCTCTCTCGGGCCACGCTGTTGGGGGCTCGAGAGCTCTCTCTCGGGCCACGCTGGGGCTCACAGCTCTCTCTCGGGCCATCGCTGGGGCTCACAGCTCTCTCTCGGGCCACGCTGGGGCTCACAGCTCTCTCTCGGGCCACGCTGGGGCTCGCAGCTCTCTCTCGGGCCACGCTGGGACTTGTAGTACTCTATCAGGCCATGCTTGTAGATATTTATAAGACCATGTTGGGGGTTGAGATGTTCTATCAGGTCATGCTGGGTTCTGTGGTGCTCCTTTCGACTATGCAGGTCCATGTGTCCCCCTCCTCCTCCGCCAGCAGGGTGTACTCACCTCCTATGACTGTGGCCCTGAGGGCGGCATGTGATGGGTGATCTGTAGACGCCATTACCCGGTGTCTCGGGGCCCATGGGCATGGTGACATTGAGGAGAAGTCCCAGGTCCAGGCTGTCACTGTGGCCCAGCACCCCGGACATTGGTGGTTCTTGTCTCCCCGGGGGAGGCGGTGGAGGATGACATTGAGGTTCAGAGTCTCCCCGCTGTGACTGTGGCCCAGCACCCCGACATTGAGGTTCAGAGTCTCCCCGCTGTCACTGTGGCCCAGCACCCCGACATTGAGGTTCAGAGTCTCTCCCCCTCTGCAGAAGCCACAGGCAGCAGCAATGCGTTCCACCCTGGTATCTGAACACTTCCTTGTTGTGCGCTGCTTCTCTTCCCTCCCGGAAACAAGTCATGGTGAATATTGGTTCCGCAGGCGAATCAGTTCCCGCAATCAGTTCAACACAGGCTCCGCCTCCGGAGCAAGTCCCGACAGGGTTGCCAACCCCGATGGACAATTTACTGACAGCACATTTGTTTTACTGGCAACCTGAAAAATGACAGGCCTATTAGAAACTAAAACGATAGCTAAACAGTATAAACCGCAATCTGTAAACACTGACAACACCCATACCAGGCAGCACCAGTGCGATTTGTCATGCAATTTGTCATATAAATCGCGTGACAAATCTCACCCCATTTGCAGCAACGGAACCGTTCAAATTGTTGCGACCCAAGTCGCAAAAAAGTTCCCTCGCTACTTTTCTGTAATTTCATTGCGACTTGCTTTGACATCGGTTAAATGAAGTCGCAATTAAATCGCGCATCAAAATCGCACTGATCTGCGGTTTTGAAATTGCACTGAAGTAGCACAATTTGAAAGTCGCATTGGTGTGAACCACGGCTGACATTTAACAAGTCAACACGCCGTGACAAATTATCGGCCATCCTGCTGGGATACAGTGGAAAAGCAAGCTCTGTATGCATGATAGAGAGAGCCATGAGGTATGGCAGGATTGCGTCTAATAGTGGGAGTGGCCTTAAAGAGGGTGATTAGGGTGTTCCCTCTCGTTGCCTGTAAAAGCCCATTTATATTACAAGGAATCGTCAATTGAAAAGAAAGAATTCGAGGGACTGTCCCTAAATTGGAGCAAAGTCCCTTTGTCTCTCCTTCCTCTTCACTTGTCCCTCATTTTGGTCTGATCTATATAGTTGTATATAAAATCCACGTTTTCTCTTTCAAAATGTGTCACAGAGTGCAGGGTTCAGGGGTGTGCTGCATACAGAGTGCAGGGTTCATGGGTGAGCTGCATACAGAGTGCCGGGTTCAGGGGTGTGCAGTATACAGAGTGCAGGGTTCAGGGGTGTGCAGTATACAGAGTTCAGGGTTCATGGGTGTGCAGTATACAGAGTTCAGGGTTCATGGGTGTGCAGTATACAGAGTTCAGGGTTCATGGGTGTGCAGTATACAGAGTTCAGGGTTCATGGGTGTGCAGTATACAGAGTTCAGGGTTCATGGGGTGTGCAGTATACAGAGTTCAGGGTTCAGGGGTGTGCAGTATACAGTGAGTTCAGGGTATACAGTTGGGTGTGCGCTGTGTACATAGTGCAGGGTTCAGGAGTGTGAAGCATACAGAGTGCCAGGCTCAATGGTGTGCACTGTTTACAGAGTGCAGAGTTCAGGGGTGAGGCGCATACAGAGTGCCAGATTTAGATGTGCACTTTGTGCAGAGTGCCAGGTTCAAGGGTGGGCTGCATACAGAGTGCATGGTTCAGGGGTGTGTAGCATACAGAGTACTGGGTTCAGGGGTGCTCTGTGTACAGAGTGCAGAGTTCAGGTGTGTGCTGCATACAGAGTGCAGAGTTCAGGGCTGCACTGCATACAGAGTGCAGAGTTCAGGGCTGCACTGCATACAGAGTGCAGAGTTCAGGGGTGCGCTGCATACAGAGTGCCGGGTTTAGGTGTGCGCTGTGTACAGAGTACTTGGTTCAAGTGTTCTCTGCATACAGAGTGCCGGGTTCAGGTGTTCTCTGTGTACAGAGTGCAGGGTTCAGGTGTGCACTGTGTACAGAGTGCAGGGTTTAGGTGTGCTCTGCATAAAGAGTGCAGAGTACAGGGGTGCCCCCTTTTCTCCCAATTGCCCCCTAATCCAGCACAGTGCTCTACTCCCATCTCCAAATCCCCCTCCTTGACAGGACCTGAGTGCCGGGTTCAGGTGTGCATAGTGTACAGAGTGCCGGGTTCAGGTGTGCACAGTGTACAGAGTGCCGGGTTCAGGTGTGCACAGTGTACAGGTACAGAGTGCCGGGTTCAGGTGTTCTCTGCATACAGAGTGCCGGGTTCAGGTGTGCACAGTGTACAGAGTGCAGGGTTCAGGTGTTCTCTGTGTTCAGAGTGCAGGGTTCAGGTGTGCACAGTGTACAGAGTGCCGGGTTCAGGTGTGCACAGTGTACAGAGTGCAGGGTTCAGGTGTTCTCTGTGTTCAGAGTGCAGGGTTCAGGTGTGCACAGTGTACAGAGTGCCGGGTTCAGGTGTTCTCTGCATACAGAGTGCCGGGTTCAGGTGTGCACAGTGTGCAGAGTGCAGGGTTTAGGTGTGCGCTGCATAAAGAGTGCAGAGTACAGGGGGGCCTCCTTTTCTCCCAATTGCTCCCTCCCCCAGCACAGTGCTCTACTCCCATGCCCAAATCCCCCTCATTGACAGGACCAGAGTGCCGGGTTTAGGTGTCAGGAGCTGTTACCACCAGACAAGCACCGGGTTCCAGCTACCTATCTATGCAGAGAGGCAGCCGGCGGAGCACATTTGGGATCTCTCTGCAGCCGGACCTAGAGAAGCAGGTCGCTGGCACCAGCCGAATTCTATTTAAAAATAATCCCAACTGCCTGCAAACTTTCCCTGGATCATTGGCTGCGGGCGTTGCATCAAGCTGTCAAGGGGTTCTTACTTACACTTGCCGAGCCAACGCTAACCTGCCTAAAAAAAAATTGGACTGATTTCTACTGACATACAATTTCTCTAACAGACCTTTACTGACAGCTGTAAAAATTACATATTTTTACAAATGGCCAGTAAATTTACTGGCGGTTGGTAACCCTGGTCCCTGAGTGTGCTTGATCAGCTTCTGTGGGCTGGATCGCTGTCCCCGGCATGTGTGCTGTGCCCCGATGTGAAACTATATAAGCCTGTTATCTGCACCTGCGGCAGTGTCACTGTCCCAATAGATGGCAACTATGTTTCTGCCGTCTTGGGGCCCCCCACAGTAGCAGAACACCAGGGCCCGGTTGCAAATGCAAGCTTTGTGACCCTGGTAGTTCCGCCATTGACATAATCTTAAACTATGGGAGTGGTTTTGCTGCAGGCCATTAGGTGTTCACCGGTAATATACCGCTTTAGTTCACTTAGGCCAGTTTTACCCGGACAAGCAGGGCTGGAGCTACCACTAGGCAAACTAGGCAGCTGCCTAGGGCGTACTGCCACCTAGGGCACAGCCACAGCTGCTGGTTTTCTTACTCTCCACCATGGGCGGATCTAGGGGAGGTGCTGGGGGTGGGTGGGAGGGATTTAGGGGAATTTGTCCTAGGTGAGGGGATTGAAGGAAGAGGATTGGTGCTGGGATGGAGGATTGGGGGAAATTTGTGCTAGGAGGGAGAATTGGGGGAGGATTTGTGCTAGGAGGGGGAATTTGGGGGGACTTGTGTTAGGTGAGGATATTGGGGAGGGGGGTGTTAGGAGGGGGGATTTGAGGTAATTTGTACAAGGAGGGGGCATGGGAATTTGTGCTAGGAGAGGGGAAGTGGAGGGTTGTGCTAGGAAGGAGGATTGGAGAGGGGTGGATTTGTGCTTGAAGGGGGGATTGGGGGGAGGTTATGCTAGGAGGGGGGATTTTAGGGGGAAATTAATGCTGGGAGAGGGAATTGGGGGGGGGGGGGGAATTTGGGCTAGGAGAGGGGGATTGAGGGAATAATGTTAGGTAGGGGGTTTTGGGGGGAATTCGGGCTAGGAGAGGGGTATTGGGGGAATTATGTTAGGAGGGGGGATTGGGGGGGGACAATTTTGCTAGGAGGGGGGATTAGGAGGGTTTGTGCTAAGAGGGGGGATTTGTGCTAGGAAGGGGGATTTAGGGGGATTTTTGCTAGGAGGCGGGATTGGGGGAATTATGTTAGGAGGTGGGATTGGGGGGGGCAATTTTGCTAGGAGGGGGGATTGGGAGGGGTTGTGCTAAGAGGGGGGATTCGTGCTAGGAAGGGGGATTTAGGGGGATTTTTGCTAGGAGGCGGGATTGGGGGAATTATGTTAGGAGGGGGGAATTTGGGCTAGGAGGGGGGATTGGCATGAGTTGTGCTAAGAGCTGGGGGTTTGTGCTAGGAAGGGGGATTTATGCTAGGAGGGGGGATTTGGGGGAGAGGATTTATGCTAGGCGGGGGGATTTGGGGGAGAGGATTTATGCTAGGCGGGGGGATTTGGGGGAGAGGATTTATGCTAGGGTGGAAATTTAAGGGTAAAGGGGATGTGTGCTAGGAGGGGTGAAGTAGAACTACAGGTGAAGATTTCCTTTTTGGGGGAGAGGGGGGGTGCAAGTAGCTGATCTCGCTTAGAGCGCAAAATAGTCTGGCACCGACCCTGCAGACAAGTAATAGTCGTTGATTTACCAAAGACAAATAGACTGTGCACTTTGCAAAGTGCAGTTACACTCTTCAAGTGCAATTGCTCCAGAGCTTAGTAGTTGAGCAGAATCTCTGCTGACTTCTATCATCCAATCATGTGAAAGCTAAAAGGCATTTTTTTAAATTTCCTTGCACGTGATTGGGTATTGCTTGCAAAGTGAAGCTTAACCTGATTTACTTAGTTCTGCAGCAACTGCAGAGTGCAGAGTCTGGTTGCCTTTAATAAATCAACCCCATAGTATTCCTGGAGTTAGGTTTTCAAAAAAGAGGAATGACAGTCCAGACCAGAGCCGGACTGACCATTTGGAAACTTGGGCACTGCCCAAGGGGCCGGGGTCAGTAGGGGGCCCCATGAGATGCCCCTGGTACCTTTTTCATAGGCTTTTTTGAGTTTGGGCAAGGACACAGGGGCCCCATGATCCCCTATTGCCCGGGGGCCCCATGAGTTGTCAGTCCGCCCCTGGTCCAGACCATGTTACCTACCCAAGCTTCAAATAGTTGAGGCAGATGCAGTGGGGTGATCAGATTGTCCGAAGAACATTAAGGCTGGATTGACACTTTGGCAGTAATGTGCATCGCAGCAATTAAAGCTGCTCAGTCTTTTCTTCATGGAGTTTTTTTTTTTCCTTTTATCCATACAAGGAACAGAACACATATCCAAATCAACACATTTCAGAATGCTAAATCTAAAGGTTGTGGTGGGTTCCATGTCCTGCATATCTCCAGGAGAGATCTACAGCAATCTGAGTTTGTAGAATGTAGGCAGCTCGCCCAGATATGGCAGGAAATTTCATAGTCAGCATTTTTTTAGGATAGTAATCTCTTCCAACAAGTGTTATTATATCTCTATCTGACCATGTGGGATCCTCTCTAATATCTGTCTATTTTATCTATAGCAACGAAAGGTCAGGGGCGGACTGACAACTCATGGGGCCCCCGGGCAATAGGGGATCATGGGGCCCCTGTGTCCTCGCCCACACTCAAATCACACCCAAAAAAGCCTATGAAAGGTACCAGGGGCATCTCATGGGGCCCCCTACTGACCCCGGGCCCTCGGGCAGTGCCCGAGTTTCCAATGGTCAGTCCGCCCCTGCGAAAGGTAGATGTGAGGGGTCCTTGTTATGCACCAGTCTAAAATGATACGAAACACTGTGTTTCTGATAACCCTTTCTAAATTTAGCAATGTGTTCACTTATTCTTTTGGTAAGTTTCCAAGTGGTTCTCCCTATACAGGTGAAACTCAAAAAATCAGAATATCGTGCAAAAGTTCATTTTTTTCAGTAATGCAACTTAAAAGGTGAAACTAATATATGAGATAGACTCATTACATGCAAAGCAAGATAGTTCAAGCCGTGATTTGTCATAATTGTGATGATTATGGTTTACAGCTCATGAAAACCCCAAATCCACAATCTCAGAGAATGAGAATATTGTGAAAAGGTGCAATATTCTCGGCTCAAAGTGTCCCACTCTAATCAGCTAATTAAGCCAAAACACCTGCAAAGGGTTCCTGAGCCTTTAAATGGTCTCTCAGTCTGGTTCAGTAGGAATCACAATCATGGGAAAGACTGCTGACCTGACAGTTGTGCAGAAAACCATCATTGACACCCTCCATAAGGAGGGAAAGCCTCAAAAGGTAATTGCAAAAGAAGTTGGATGTTCCCAAAGTGCTGTATCAAAGCACATTAATAGAAAGTTATGTGGAAGGGAAAAGTGTGGAAGAAAAAGGTGCACAAGCAGCAGGGATGACCGCAGCCTGGAGAGGATTGTCAGGAAAAGGCCATTCAAAAGTGTTGGGGACTTTCACAAGGAGTGGACTGAGGCTGGAGTCAGTGCATCAAGAGCCACCTCACACAAACGGATCCTGGATATGGGCTTCAAATGTCGTATTCCTCTTGTCAAGCCGCTCCTGAACAACAAACAACGTCAGAAGCGTCTTACCTGGGCTAAAGAAAAACAGACCTGGTCTGTCGCTCAGTGGTCCAAAGTCCTCTTTTCTGATGAGAGCAACTTTTGCATCTCATTTGGAAACCAAGGACCCAGAGTATGGAGGAAGAATGGAGAGGCACACACTGCAAGATGCACAGCAGAGAAATACACAGCAGCATGTTTCCCAAAAAAAAAAACACAGCACACAGTCGGTGATTCCCTGCCGGCACCCGGTGATGCGTGTAGAACTGACAGGGAAGAGACCTTTGTGTAAACAACACAGGTCTCTCTGCTGCCAGCAAGGACATGCTGCTGTGTATTTCTCTGCACAGCAGAGAGATGCAAAACAGCATGGCTCCCTAGTAAACCACACACAGCACACAGTTAACCCTTTGATCTCCCCAGATGTTAACCCCTTCCTGCCCAGTGCCATTAGTACAGTGTCAGTGCTTTTTATTAGCACTGATCCCTGTATTAGTGTCACTGGAGATGTCAGTTCCCCCCCAGTGTCAGAATGCCCGCCGCAGTCCCGCTATAAGTTGCTGATTGCTGTACATATACTAGTATATATTTTTTTAAAAATTCCAGTATATATACCACCATTTGTAGACACTGTAACTTTCACATAAAGCAATTAATTTACACGTATTGGGATTTTTTTTAGCAACGACATGTCGCAGAATACATTTTGGCCAAAATTTATGATGAAATTTGCTTTTTACATTTTTTTACTGGACATGTTTTATAGCAACAAGTCAAAAATATTGTTTTTTTTTTTTAAATTGGCCTTTTTTTTTGTTTATAGCACAAGAAATTAAAAAAGCACAGGTGATCAAATACCACCAAAAGAAAGCTCTATTTGTGGGGAAAAAAGGACATAAATTTATGCCGAAATTAGATTTTTAAAAAAAAATTTAATGGATATGTTTAATAGCAAAAAGTCAAAAATATTGTTTTTTTTTCTCAAAATTGTCAGTCTTTTTTTTTTTAATAACGCAAAAAATAAAAACCGCACGGGTGATCAAATACCACTGAAAGAAAGCTCAATGCGTGGTATAAAAAAGACGTAAATTTAATTTGGGTGCAGCATTGCATGACCACGCAATTGTCAGTTAAAGAAACCGTATCGCAAAAAATGGCCTGGCCAGGAAAGGGGGGTAAATCGTCTGGAGGACGAGGGGTTAAGGTCAATGATTTTCATGGTAAAATCTCTTTAAAGGTAGGACTCATTGTTAGTTTATTAGTAGTGGTTAGAATTTTTCTGGCCTGTGACTGTGTGTGCTTTTCTATTTTTGTTATGTGTCTAATAATATAAGTTGGCACCGGGTTCCCTTTTCACAGTGCAGGTGGCCTATGGCGCCCCAAGTGATCGTTTAGTGTCATGCTCCCCCCTCATCCGCCGCAGACTTCCTCGTCACTTTTCTTTCAACCATCTCCTGTGAAATTGTCATCCCTGTTTTGCAGAAACTGACTCTCCAGCTTGTAAGATTGTTAAGCCTTGGGGTGGCAGAGTGAAGACTCGAAACTTCCTCCCCTCCCACAGTGAGAATAAACACAGCGTCTGCCAGTTGAGCCGGCTATATACTTCGAAATTCTTCATTTTAGAAACGCTCATTTTTGTATGAGCTTTCATATGAACTTTTATACAAATTGTGTTTGAAAATCTATTGGCATATAGCTAGGGGCGGACTGACAACTCATGGGGCCCCCGGGCAATAGGGGATCATGGGGCCCCTGTGTCCTCGCCCACACCCAAAAAAGCCTATGAAAAAGCCAATGAAAGGTACCAGGAGCATCTCATGGGGCCCCCCTACTGACCCCGGTCCCTCGGGCAGTGCACGAGTGCTCGAATGGTCAGTCCACCCCTGCATATAGCTAACTCTACTGTAGAGATTGGCGATCGCAGACTGGGAATCGCCAGTGGTGAAGTTAAAGTCGATCTAAAATCAAACTAGGTGATGTGTCGTTTAATAAAGCAGCACTTATGTGTAACCACTTCCCGTCGGGCCGTTGTATATAAACGACCGGACGGTGGCAGTGCAGGGGTGGGTTGCCATTCATAAACGGCGCCCACCATTTTGGATTGTGTGTGCTCCCTGGAATCGCTCTACGGGACCTCTGTGTGATGTCCTGATCATGTGATCACTGATCGGCCAATCAGTGATCACATGAATAGTAATAAGCAAGATGTCACTTCTGATATCATTGCTTACTACCAGGGGCGGACTGACCATTTGGATCACTTGGGCACTGCCCGAGGGCCCGGGGTCAGTAGGGGGCCCCATGAGATGCTCATGGTACCTATTTCATAGGCTTTTTTGAGTTTGGGCAAGGGCACAGGGGCCCCATGATCCCCTATTGCCTGGGGGCCCCATGAATTGTCAGTCTGCCCCTGTTTACTACGTGTGAAATCTGTGAATGATCACAGAGGTCACATGGGACAAGGCTATTCACAACAGCCCTGTACCATGTGACAAGCTGTGACCAATCACAGCTCACACAGTATTTCTCAATGGCTGCAAGAATGCAGCCAGAGAGAAGGAAAAATGATTGCTTTTACAGCCTTTATGGGTGTAAAAGCAATCAGTGTACAAAAAAAAAAAAAACACTTCATCACCCCCCACAAGTAGTACAGTGTCACCATGGTGACACTGTACTGCTAGGGTGATGGTATGCTAAAAAAAAAGAAACCATAACATAATATAAAAAAATTAAATAAAAATGTAAAAAGAAATGCTTGAAAAATTATAATTTTTGGTTATAAACTAATTTGGGTTATTTTTTTTTACAAAAAGATAACTGAATAAATTTTGGCCAATATTTATGAAGAAAGAGTATTTATTTGCAAACTTTTATAAGAAAAACACTTTTTTTCAAACTTTTTGTACTTTTTCATTTATATAGCAAACAAAAATAAAAATCCCAGTGGTGAGTAAATACCACCAAAATAAAGTTTTATCTGTCTCAAAAAAATGCTAAAAAATTCATATGGGTACAGTGTTACATGACCCGCGCAATTGTCATTCAAAGTGTGACAGCGCTGAAAATTGGCCTGGACAGGAAGGAGGTAAAAGTGTCCGGACTTGAAGTGGTTAAACACTGTCACATGACTGAATGGAGGAAATCAGTGCTACCATGTAAGCTCTGACACCATCCAACATGGAGCTTCCACAGGGTTTGGACTCCAATGGAAGACCGGAATGTCGGAGTAGCGCGGTGAAGGCGAGTTTCCATTAGTGGGACGGTCTTTTAAGAGGACCTGTCATTTTTCCCTAAATAGGCCAAGTGGCAGAGTCTCTTTAGGCAGAAGGCACCCAAACCGTGTCCTCATTGCCACCACAACCACATTCTTAAACACTGTCACATGATTGAATGGAGGAAATCAGTGCTACCATGTAAGCTCTGACACCATCCAACATGGAGCTTCCACAGGATTTGGACTCCAGTGGAAGACCGGAATGTCGGAGTAGCGTGGTGAAGGCGAGTTTCCATTAGTGGGGCGGTCTTTTAAGAGAACCTGTCACTTTTCCCTAAATAGGCCAAGTGGCAGAGTCTCTTTAGGCAGAAGGCACCCAAACCGTGTCCTCATTGCCACCACAACCACATTCTTAAACACTGTCAGATGATTGAATGGAGGAAATCAGTGCTACCATGTAAGCTCTGACGCCATCCAACATGGAGCTTCCACAGGGTTTGGACTCCAACGGAAGACCGGAATGTCGGAGTAGCGTGGTGAAGGCGAGTTTCCATTAGTGGGGCGGTCTTTTAAGAGAACCTGTGTCACTTTTCCCTAAATAGGCCAAGTGGCAGAGTCTCTTTAGACAGAAGGCACCCAAACCGTGTCCTCATTGCCACCACAACCACATATTTAAGGCAATCTTGGGGTGTCCTACAACAATGTGATGTGGATCCACATCTGACGGGATGGTGTTTAATTACAAGAAACCAGAAGCATCTTCAGCGGTTTAAAGCGTCTGCTCGGTTTTACTGTAAATGACACCTGGAAAGATCCACGTATCAAAGAAAAGAGAAAACGTTCCCTTCGCTCTTCCAGCACAGCCGTTAACCCATCTGGTGCCAGGCGCCTCCTCATCCCAGCCATCTAACCCCTTGCGAGCCAGCGCTGTACTTCCCATCTGCTCCCCATCTGAGGGACTCGTCAGTGTGGTGCTGATGTGGCAAATACAATAAGTTCTTGGGATGCAGTCCAGACCTCTCTCCTCCCTCCTCCCCACTTCATTGTCTCCCCCCCTCCATTACTTTTGTTGGCTCGGACCCCTCTTGCGCTCCCTCCTTCTCCCTGTGCGGGGAGTGGAAGCTTGCTGCCTCTCCACATGGCAGAGCTCAGCTGGGAGGGGAAGGGAGGAAGAGAGAAAGCCGCCGACAATGCGAGAAGGGCAGGTTGGAACAAGAAAGTGAACGCAGATTGATAATGAGAATAGTGAAGAAATATTGGTAGTGTGAATACGAGACACAAAGAAGGGCAACTATCCTAAAAGGGTCACTATACACATTACAATCTGACTGTACAATCTCTGTACAATCAACAGAAGATTTACCAAAACTATGAGCACCTACCTAAACTATCCAATCAATTTTGCATTGAATGTTTTAGGTAGATCTAAGATGTGGTGAGCTTTCTCAGACATGAAATATGAACCAAGCATATCCCTCTATAGTGTGTACTTGTCTCAATCCAGAGCACTAAGTGTTATTTCTGTCCTCTGCCTTGTTCCTCTGCTATCAGCATGAGTCACTTCTGACAAGTTTTCCTGACACCAAGAGAAACTATGGTGACAGAGGAGGGCACAGTCTGTGATTGTCACTTCTGACAAGTTTTCCTGACACCAAGAGAAACTATGGTGACTGAGGAGGGGACAGTCTGTGATTGACAGCCTCAGCTCTGTTCCTGTGTGCTGTGTGAAGGGGGGTGTGTGTCCCTTCCCCCCAATCAGCTCTCAGAGCTCTCCTCGCTGATGTACCTTCAGCTCTCCGCCCCCTGCTTTTCAGAATGAATGAATTTCTGACAGTGTATGTGGTTTTCATTCGCGAAATGTTAAAATCAAATGTTAAAAGCAAACTAAATCTTGAACTAGTTGATCCAGGGAATATCTGATTGCCTCTCGGGGGATCAGGAAGGAATTTGTTTCCCCTGCAGGAGCAAATTGGATCATGCTTTGCTTGGTTTTTCTGCCTTCCTCTGGATCAACTGTGGGTATAGGATTATAACTTTTTTTTTTTTTTTAATGGTTGAACTGGATGGACTTTTGTCTTTTTCAGCCAGACTAACTATGTAACTAGTGTCAAAGGAAATTGTACTTTTTGTACAAAATTTCATACGCATTTTTTTTTAATATTCTATTAATTTATACCTAGCCCACTCCCTCCCTCCTCCTCCATGCCCACTAACCAGCTAAACATAATAGTGGTGGGATATTACAGCTTGATTGATGGAGGCTTCACCTCCCTGTTATTCTAAGCCGCAAGCTGGAGGGGTTTGACATAGCCTGTGATTGCCAGAGATCCACCCACACCATGTCACTGCAAAAAAATAATAAAGATTTGATTCCAAATATATATTTGTATGAAAAAAAATGAATCGTCCCAGATGTTAACTCCTTCCTGCCCAGTGCCATTAGTACAGTGTCAGTAATTTTTATTAGCACTGATCACTGTATTAGTGTCATTGGGTTGTCAGTGGCAGTTAGTCAGTTCCCTCCAGTGTCAGAATGCTCGTCGCAGTCCTGCAGTCCTGCTATAAAGCGCTGATCACCGTCATTACTAGCATAAAAAAACTAAAACTAAAAATCCCAGTATCTATACCGCCATTTATAGACGCTATAACTTTCACGTAAACCAATTCATTTACACGTATTGGGATTTTTTTTAGCAAAGACATGGAGCAGAAGACATTTTGGCCTAAATTTATGAAGAAATTAGATTTTTAAATTTTTTTTTACTGGATATGCTTACAGCAAAAAGTCATAAATATTGTTTTTTTTTCCCAAAATTATCGGTCTTTTTTTGTTTATAGAGCAAAAAATCAAAACCGCGTAGGTGATCAAATACCACTGGAAGAAAGCTTTATTTGTGAGAAAAAAAGAACATAAATTTCAATAATGTACAGAGTTGCATGACTGCGCAATTGTCAGTTAAAGTAACGCAGTGCTGTATCGCAAAAAATGGCCTGGTCAGGAAGGGGGGGTAAATCGTCTTGAGGGTATGTGGTTATAAACTGTAAAACGTTGCACACTTTTTTGCTTTGGGATGTATTTAAACAGCATCATATCATAAACAACTGCCATGAAATACTTTCTTCACTTTTTTTAATCCTGTTTTACATCTCAGTGTTGCTGATCTCCTGAATCCTATTTGCAGCAACCTCCTGGTTATATGCACTCCTGGAATGGCTTCATTGCATTTCTCAGGTAGAATTCTCTAGTGAGAACAGTAGACCACGTCTGTGTATGATGAACTGGCCACTTGTAGTCCCCATCTGAATCCTGTCGGACAGGCTGACAACCTAGGACCACAACTGGGAGACAGGGACAGAGTGCTGTCACCAGGGGAGGACTGACAACTCATGGGGCCCCCGGGCAATAGGGGATCATGGGGCCCTTGTGTCTTCCCCCACACTCAAACCACACCCAAAAAAGCCTATGAAAGGTACCAAGGGAGTCTCATGGGGCCCCCTACTGACTCCGGGCCCTCGGGCAGTGCCCGAGTGCTTGAATGGTCAGTCCGCCCCTGGTTGTCACCCTATAACAGGAATTGCCTGAATAGAGACCTTCAAGGCGGGATTAACAGGTATTATTTTATTGAAAGCTGCAGATTTAGAAAAATTTTTGTATTTACTTTAACATGTTAAAAGCTATATAACATTTAAGTGATTGAGTTTACGTCAGGGGCGGACTGACCATATAGAAATTCGAGCACTGCCCGAGGGCCCGGGGTCAGTAGGGGGCCCCATGAGATGCCCCTGGTACCTTTTTCATAGGCTTTTTTGAGTTTGGGCAAGGACACAGGCCCCATGATCCCCTATTGCCTGGGGGCCCCATGAGTTGTCAGTCCGCCCCTGGCTTACGTATTCTTTAGAATCTCTTTTTTAAGGTAAGGTAATGTAGTTGCTAATAGTAACACAGATACCCAGGTTGTTGTATAGAACACTCAATGACCGTCCTCCCAGAGATACCCCATAGTCTGCACTGACATGTGGAGCTGCAGCACATGTGACCGCGGTGGTCGTATCATTGAGGTACATGAAAGGGAATCTCCACTT